GGTTTAAAATTTTCATTTCAGTACACCTCTAGTTGTCATGGAGGATGTCAAATCACAGTAGTCTGTTCCATAGAGGTGTCATGTTTGGCCCCATATACTCTAGGTTCAGATGTGGATTACATGTACATAGGGTGGGTGTTAATGTGCATAATATTATTAATTCAATTATTATAATAATATTAATGTGCATAATAATAATATTAATGTGCATAATAATAATGCTGGGTAAGGGTAATCACTTTTGGGTAAAGGGAAAAACAACAAAAAAATCTGTACTTACTAAAATACATTATAGGTTTTCTTCAACAGTAGTAAGAATATCAATAGACAGCCAATACTGAACTAGCCTGGCCTATACAGTCTAACAGCTAGTTTAATGTGCATTACCTGTGTCAAGATCTCCAATAACATAAATACTTGCTCCAATAGGCACTGCTCCGTACACAAAGGAAGAGCTTGTTGGAATACACAAATTCTGGTCATTTAAGTAAATCCATCTGTAAGAAGAAAAAAAAAAAAAAAAAACCACTGAAAATGTTAAACTACACCAGGATGCTATTCCTTGACTAAATGCAAGCGGCTTTAACACATATCCACGGCTGCTAAGTGCATGGTTGTGTGTTCTTGGATGCCCCCACACTGCGGCAGTGTGACTTCCACATGTATCTGCAAATGTATGCAGCTACAACTTCTGTTTTACCTGGGTAGTTGAAACAAATTTTTTTTCTTGCTGGCTTGCTTCAGAGCGTGCTGGGGATCCCGTTTGTACTGCTGTACTGACAACTAGGGATGCAACAATACCGATACTAGTATCGGTACAGATACCGAGTATTTGGGCGAGTACTCGCCGCCCGCATTCCCGATTGGCTGGGAAGCCGTTTTCCCAGCAAAACAGCATGGAGCCAGCTTCCCGGGCAAATCAGAAGCCAGGAAGCATGCCATTACCAGCCACCCGGCTTCCTGATTGTCTGGGAAGCCGGCTCCATGCCAGCAGAAGCACTGGTATTGGTACTCGGTAGCGACGAGTACTGAAAGCAAAATAATGGTACACGTACTCTATACCGAAAAACCTGTATCGTTGCATCCCTAGTT